GGACTGCATGAAAATTATTAAGTGACTGTGTGACATAACTAATATATATATATATATATATTATATATATATATAATATTATATATATATATTTTATATATATATTATTATTATTTTTATTATTATTATTTATTAAAGATTATGCATTACAGTGGTCTAGTTACATTGTGAGGAACATAAATGCAAAACATATGAATTACTTACCAAGGTGATATATCCTAACGCCTGCTAACAGTAAGGCATACTAAATATTAACCAATACTAGCTACCGTATCTGTTTTATGGAGTCGAATACACAATGGGAGGCGTACATTAAACTGGATGATGAATGTGACAGGTAATATGGCGTCACATTCTGCTATCTCCTCCTGGGTTCCATCATATCATCATTTTATTGATAGTTGTATTAAATATTTGGACACTTCCAGATGCACTGCCTCATCGTTTATCCCGACGTTACAATACTCGGCCGATATTATCTCTATCGGCTCCGATTACACTGGATTAAATGCCCACAAATTCCGGTCCGTTCTTCTATTACGCCATGTTCGATGTTCTCCAAACGATTATATTATACACATATATTTAATTATATTCAGTGACATTTCCAGGTGTGTGGCACATTTTTCTTTATCAGAATATTAGTTTTTTCCAACACTATAACAATTACGCTTTACTTAATTAACTGATTGCCATAAATAAATCATAGTTGATGTTGGTTCCCCTGTGAAGTATCATCTTTTAAGTCACATCAACACTAAACACCAACACTACGTTATATTAACATTATTATATCCTTCAATTATTACACAAATTAAAGGAAAATTATCAAAATTCTCCACAGGTATACTGACAGGTTGCTGAATAAGATACACGTGCAACATTGTAGGCTGCACCTCTAACGTTATTCAACTGGCAGTCCAGAACTGTGAAGAACTGGAAATTGTTCTGGGAGTAGTAGCTTGTGTTTCTGGTTTAAGATTAAAAGGTAGATGTTTACCTTTGAATACCTTGGAAGGCTGTCGTGAGTTTTCCTGCTCTCGCTGCCCGTCCCTGGGCCAGGTCCAGGTGTTTATTAGCTAGTCAAGGAAAAACCAGACACAGGTATTGAAGATGACCAGTAGTGCGGGACCTGTGTCTAGGATGCGGCAAGAAGTTAATAAGTCATATGGGTGAAACTTAACATATCTGTATTGACAAAACGTTTTGCCTGCGCTTCAAGATGAATCAGTCAAGTACAGGGATGAATTACGATCTTGGAGACAGTAGGAGAAGATCAGAGGAATTTTGAAGTAATAAATCCCTCAGCTTTGATGGAGGAAAATCAGTCATTTTAACAAAAAGAAAACCTTGACCATAAAATCTTACCTTAGGCACAACTCGCAGAAATGAACTCTCGACACCAGTCACAAGATGTTCAGAGTGAATTCGTTTTTTTTTTTTCTCCTCTCCAACCAAACCTCAGTCTAACAAGTATCACTTCTTTAAGTCAGCTGACTTAATCATGATCAACTTCTTTGACTTACAACACATAATTATAATCCACCGGGATCTTTGCGTTTCGCTGGAGAGTTGTCCTTCACCTCCATGCCGTCAGCCCACTTGCCTCTGACATAATTGTGATGGAGTGAGTGATGATGACAGTGTTTCTTCTTTTTTGGGTCACCCTGATTAGGTGGGAAATGGCCGATGTTATATATATATATATATAGAGTGGTCCCTCGTTGTTCGTAATTAATCCGTTCCTGGAGCCGTTACTATAAACGAAATTTACGATTTACGAATCAATTTTCCCCATAAGAAATAATGTAAATACAATTAATCCGTTCCTGACACCCAGAAGTATTAAAACAAAAAAATTTTTAACATGAAATATGCATGTAGTACATAAACAATACAATGAGAAATGATGAATGAAACATTAACAGCATAACACTTAATTTATTGGAAAAATTTTGGGTGTTATGCTGTTAATGTTTCATTAAACTTTTCCCCTTTGAAAAAATTTTTTTATTTACTACATGCTTTTTTTCATGTTAAAAATTTTTTTTTTTTTTAAAATACTTCGGGTTTTCGGGAACGGATTAATTGTATTTACATTATTTCTTTTTGGGGAAAATTGTTTCGTAAATCGAAAAATTTCGTTTTAAGTAAGGGCCCCCGGAAAACGGTTTAAAATTACGAAAAAACGAGGGAAAAACCTTATATAATTTATATATATAACATCGGCCATTTCCCACCAAATCAGGGTGCCCAAAAAAGAAGAAACACTGTCTTAATCCCCTCACTCCATCCCCAATTATGTCAAGGAAATTGGGGGACGGCATGGAGGGGAAGGAAAACTCTCCAGCGAAACGCAAAGCCCCCGGTGGATTATAATTATGTGTTTTAAGTAAAGAAGTTAAATCATGATTAAGTCACCTGACTTAAAGAAGTGAACTTGTTAGATTGGGGTTTTGGGTTGGGAGGGAAAAAAAAAAAAAAACGTTTAAACTCTGAAAATTTGGACTGGTGTCGGGTTCATTTTTTGCATTTTGTGCCAAAGGGAAAGTTTTTAGGGTAAAGGGTTTTTTTTTTTGGTTAAAAATTGACTGATTTTCCCCCATCAAAAACCTGAGGGATTTATTTTTCAAAATTCCCTGATCTTCCCCTACTGTCCCCCAAAAACGTAATTCATCCCTGTACTTGACTGTTTTCATCTTAAAGCGCGGGCAAAAACTTTGTAAATTAAAAAGATATTTTAAGTTTCACCCCAATGATTAAATTAACTTCTTGCCGCTTTCCTAAAACCCGGTCCCGAAATACTGGTCATTTTAAATCCCTGTTTTGGGTTTTTTTTCCCTTAAATACTAAAAAAAAACCGGGCCCGGGGCCCGGGGGAGGGCAGCGAGGGGCAGGAAAACTCACGCCACCCTTTCCCAAGGTATTCAAAGGGAAAACATTTCCCTTTTTTTAAATTTTTAACCGAAACCCAAAAGGGTTTCTCCCTTTCCCCAGAACCCTTTTTCCCATTTCTTCCACATTTCTGGTTTTCCCATTTGGGAATAACGTTTGAGGTGCGGCCAAAAAAGTTGCACGTGTATCTTATTCAGAAAAATGTCGTTTCCCTTTATTTGGGGGAATTTTTGGATAATTTTCCTTTAAATTTTGGTTTTTTTAATTTATTTGGGAAAGGATAAAATTAATGTTTAATAAAAAAACTTTTTTTTAGGTTGGTTTTTTGGTTTTTTTTAGTGGTTGGGATGGGGGAATTTAAAAAAAGATGTTTAATTTCCACGGGGGAACCAACATCAATTTAATGTTTTAAATTTATGGCAATCAGTTTAATTAATTTAAAGCTTTTAATTTTTTTGTTTAATGTTTTTGGAAAAAAAAAAAAAAAATTTTAAAAATTTGATAAAGAAAAAAAATTTTGCCACACCCGGGGAAAATGTAAAAGGAAAAAAAATTAATTTTTTAAATATATGTTTTAATAATATAATCGTTTGGAGGGGAACAAACGAACATGGGGGGAAATAAAGAAAAAACGGCCCGGGAAAAATTTGTGGGCATTTAAAGCCATTTGATAATCAAAAGCGATAGAGATAAAAATCGGCCAGATTGGGTAACTCCGGGTTTTTTAAAAAAACGATGAGGCCAAGTCATCTGGAAGTGTCCCAAATTTTAAAAACAACTATCAAAAAAAAGATGATATGAGGGAAACCCAGGAGGGATGGGAGAATTAGTGAAAGCCATTTTCCCATGTCACTTTCATCCCCCATTTTAATTTTAGCCCTTCCCATTTGTTTTCGCCTCCTTTTAAAAACAGAAAAGGGTTTTTATTTTTGTTTTGGGTTTTAAATTTTTATTTAATCCCCTTTATTTTTGCAGGCGTTGGATATACCCCCTTGGTAAGTTTTAAAATTCCAAAATGTTTTGCATTATGTTCCTCACAATGAACTAAAACCACTTTTAATGCAAAATATTTTAAAAATAATAATAATAATAATAATTAAAAAAATTATATATATTTAAAATATATTATATTTTATATTAATAAATATTTTATATATAAAATTTATATTATTTATTTTTCCCGCCCCAAGCCCACTTAAAAATTTTTCATGCGTCCACACCTTCCCAAATTTTTTTTAACCAATTTTTTTTTCCCTCCATAATTTTTTTGGGGCCCCCTTTTGTTTTTTAAATTTTTAAGCCCCTCAATTTAATTGCGAGGCGGGGACCCAGACGGTAGGCAATAAAGGGTGAGGAAATTTTTGGAGATCTGTTGTTCCTAAAGGGTCCGAAAACCGGGAGGGGGGTTTTTCGGGAGTTTTTTTTTTATTTCCGAAACCCACCCTTTCCGGGGCTCTCGCTGGTGCTTGCCTGGTAAAACCAGACTTTTGGGTTTGTTGGTAGCCCACAGACCCAAAAAATCCATAAACAGCCTTTTTGGGATCTGGCACCTCAGTATTACATACCACTGATCTCATCATATGTGCCCAAAAAAATGTTTCATTCAAACATATTATGATAGCATTGTATGTAACAGTAACCAGCGAGGTGTTTAAACCTCTTAACATTGTAAAGATGGGTAGTTGGTTAATGGGGGCTTTGAAGCCTATGGACTACACACTTGAAAAGTTGTATTCGTTTGTGGAAATATTCGTGATTTTAATGTTAAGTGTACAAACTGTGATAGAAATATAGGAATGAAGGCGAGTGTCATTATGAAGGGAGGTCGAAATTGGACAAGACTACATATATGATAGAGTTAAGTCAAGACTTTACTCAGCTTACAGTAACATTAAAATCTGCTGCTACAGTTAAACACTGATAGCAACAAGTGGAAGAAACTGTGCAAGTGGAAGACAAATGTAGGTTCAATGCGTGGGAGAAACTTCAAGCAAATACTGGATTATGAAGGTAATGAACCAGTAAACATCTCGGGAAATATTATATAAGACAAACAGGTGCACAAGACAGAAGAGATAGACCGTGCGAGTGGTGCTTCTTAAATATTTTTTTTTTTTTTTGCTTGTATGAAGGTGGTGAGGGCGAAGGGGCGGTGACAAGTCTTTTATTTACTAAAATAAAACTCTAAAGTGAGAATCATACAAGGAAGCAATAATAAGGCGATATTTTTTTTTTTAAATATACAGACATTATATGGCGAGGGGAAAGTTACTATGGGCATTCTCGAGGATTAAAACAGAAAACGTAAACCATTTTCTTTAAAGCGGTGACTAAAGAAGGTCTAAAGAGACAGGCGTGGTGGCGGAATTTACTACGTGTAGGGGGCAGGGGGTGGAGAAAAGGGATAAGGGAGGGAGTGAAAGGGGGGTTATCAAATGAGACCTAAACAACTCACCCTCCTCGCATGGTTCATCTTGACAGTCACCTCCTGACGGTCGTCGGCAACACACGGGGGTGGAGAGGACAAAGACGAGCGGGTTAGTAACTGAGCCAGGATTGGAAGCAGACAAAACCACTCTGGCTACAAGGGGGAGGGGAGTGAAGGGCGGCGACAAACTTCTCTGTTTAGTTAGGGAAGAAGCCTTATAAAAGTAGGGGATGAGGGAATCAATTAGTAGTTAGTTTGTAAGAAGTGTTGGGGGGATGGGGAGGAGCAGACGTCATTAACTATATGGGTGCTAATGATGCGAACTTTCTGTTTTAAGAAATGAAAATATACATAAAGATAATTCTTACTATTGAACAATACAAGGGTACTTAATTCACACAAAGCTAGAGAACATACAACGACACATGATCACTTACAAGAACGACACAACTACTTGACAATGAGACTGAGTATAATGAAAGTTGAGTAGGTAGATGTTGGCGCTTCAGGTGAGGGACCCGGGACCAGACTCTGCTGGTCATCAGGCAATCCTTCAAAATGCTTCGCCAAGCAGCTAGTCACTTATGGTATGAAATGTATTGACAATGGGATCACAACGTAACTTCTTGTAAATTAAAATTATCACTGCCAAGCATTTATTTTTAGTTCAGTCTACTTGTTAGGAAAGGGGGGCTAAGTGGAAAGATGAGAGAATTGAGTGGGAACAAGAGGCTAGGTCAGGAATTTGCCACGTAAAGGGCCAGGAACTGGCCACGTACAACGCCAGGTAAGGATCTACGTACAGGGCCAAGTACTGAACCACGCGCAAGTTAAAGTACCGAGTCACGTAATTAACCGCTTACATGATCAAGCATAAAGCCACGTACCAGGGCACAGATGAGAGCAATCGTTCCTCTGCACAGCAAGACCCTGGCATGCAGCTCCACCGTTGAGGGGCGTCGGTGCTGAGCAGGTGCGGCTGCGACGCTGTGTCCCACGACCGCAACGACTGCTGCACGACGTCCACGATGACCACGACGACCATGCCCCGTCCACTGTGGAGAGAAACAACATGAAAGATCGTCACAAAGCCTCAGGGAAGATATTGTGAAGTAAAGAACGCCAGCTTATTAATAAATCGTTTATTACCACATTATTTCGTAGTTCTTGTGAGTCATTCTCACTTCCCCTTCTCCCCCCACTCCCTATCAATCTCATTACCCCCCTCATACCTCTCAATCTCAATCCTCGCCACCTACCACTCATAAGAACATAAGAAAGAAGGAACACTGCAACAGGCCTAATGGCCCATGCGAGGAAGGTCCAAATCTCCTACCGGCTTAAGCAAATGCCCCAACCAAGTCAGGTTAGGTCACATTCACTTAAGGAAGGAACACAGCAACTGACCTAGTAGCACAAGCTAATCAGGTCCAACTCACACCTACCCACACCCACTCATGTATTTATCTAACCTATTTTTAAAACTACACAACGTTTTAGCCTCTATAACTGTACTCGGGCGTTTGTTCCACTCATCCACAACTCTATTACCAAACCAGTGCCTTTCCTATATCCTTCCTGAATCTGAATTTTTCCAACTTAAAACCATTGCTGCGAGTCCTGCCTAGGCTAGATATTTTTAGCACGCTATTTACATCCCCTTTATTTATTCCTGTCTTCCATTTATACACCTCAATCATATCCCCCTAATTCTACGCCTTTCTAGAGAGTGCAGATTCAGGGCCCTCAGTCTGTCCTCATAGGAAAGATTTCTGATACATGGGATCAACTGTCATCCTCCTTTGTACGTTTTCCAGAGCATTTATATCCCTTCTGTGGCAATATAAACACAAATGCAGTATAATGTGATCCTTTATTGACTACGTTTCGCCCACACAGTGGGCTTTTTCAAGTCACAAACAGAACTACCTGGGGTCGAAGGAACGCGAGTACTTATAGTCCGGCTGAAGTCAGGTGAAGAATGCTGCATCTGATGATGTACCGAGTTGGGTTGTAGAGTCTGAAAACTTGGGTAGCTTGGAAAGGAGACTGGACAAGTTTGTGAGCAGACCTTCTACAGTGTTCTTATGTGGGATAGCGATGAAGAAGTTTCTTGGCAAGTGGTTCAGCTATGTTATAGAAGCCACTATTCTGGTTGAAGTTGTCGGATATAGAAATAAGTGATGATTCCAGGATTCTTCGGTATTGGGTGTTGTCTTCTGTGGCGATAAGTCTTGAGTTTCTGTAGTTTATCAAGTGGTTGTGTGAATTACGGTGTTGTACGCAGGCATTCCTTGTGTCGTCAGACCTGCTTGCGTATTGGTGTTCTGAAATACGTGTTTGGAGGTCCCTTGATGTTTCGCCCACGTATAACTTGTTGCAGTCATTACAAGGGATTATGTATACCCCTGCAGAGGATGGAGGCTTGTCCTGCCTACTACTGGTGATGTCCTTGATGGTCGTGGTTGTGGAGGTAGATACTTGGAATGATGTTTTGGTAAAGATGTTGGAAACATGTTTGGCAATGGAGTTGGTGGGAAGGACTATGTATCTCTTCTCGGCAGTGTCTTCTCTGGGTGTGTTGAAGATGTTTAGTGCTCGCCGTCTGCAGTCTCTGATGAAGTGACGAGGATAGTGGAGTTTGGAAAATACCTGTTCAATTATAGTGCATTCTTCCTCAAGGAACTCGTTGCTGCAGATTCTGAGTGCACGCAGGAAGAAGCCTATAATTACACCACGTTTGGTGTAATTATAGGCTTCTTCCTGCGTGCACTCAGAATCTGCAGCAACGAGTTCCTTGAGGAAGAATGCACTATAATTGAACAGGTATTTTCCAAACTCCACTATCCTCGTCACTTCATCAGAGACTGCAGACGGCGAGCACTAAACATCTTCAACACACCCAGAGAAGACACTGCCGAGAAGAGATACATAGTCCTTCCCACCAACTCCATTGCCAAACATGTTTCCAACATCTTTACCAAAACATCATTCCAAGTATCTACCTCCACAACCACGACCATCAAGGACATCACCAGTAGTAGGCAGGACAAGCCTCCATCCTCTGCAGGGGTATACATAATCCCTTGTAATGACTGCAACAAGTTATACGTGGGCGAAACATCAAGGGACCTCCAAACACGTATTTCAGAACACCAATACGCAAGCAGGTCTGACGACACAAGGAATGCCTGCGTACAACACCGTAATTCACACAACCACTTGATAAACTACAGAAACTCAAGACTTATCGCCACAGAAGACAACACCCAATACCGAAGAATCCTGGAATCATCACTTATTTCTATATCCGACAACTTCAACCAGAATAGTGGCTTCTATAACATAGCTGAACCACTTGCCAAGAAACTTCTTCATCGCTATCCCACATAAGAACACTGTAGGTCTGCTCACAAACTTGTCCAGTCTCCTTTCCAAGCTACCCAAGTTTTCAGACTCTACAACCCAACTCGGTACATCATCAGATGCAGCATTCTTCACCTGACCTCAGCCGGACTATAAGTACTCGCGTTCCTTCCACCCCAGGTAGTTCTGTTTGTGACTTGAAAAAGCCCACTGTGTGGGCGAAACGTAGTCAATAAAGGATCACATTATACTGCATTTGTGTTTATATTGCCATTGTGTCGGTATTTTATACCATTTATTTCCATATCCCTTCTGTAATACGGTGACCAAAACTGTGGAGCATAATCTAAATGAGGCCTAACCAAGGATGTATCGAGTTGAAGAACAACCTGAGGACTCCTATTATTTATGCTTCTTGATATGAAGCCAAGGATTCTGTTAGCTTTATTGAGAACTCTTATGCACTGTTGTCTTAGTTTCAGATTACTGCTAACCAGAACTCCTAAATCTTTTTTGCAACCCGTAATATTAAGATCTACATTATTTAGTTTATATGTGGCATGGTTATTTTCCTGTCCAACATTTAGAACATTGCATTTGTCTATATTAAACTGCATCTGCCACTTCTCCGACCACTGCATCAGTCTATTTAAATCTTCCTGGAATGCTCTAATGTCCTCGTCAGAACGAATTCGACGGCCTATTTTGGTGTCATCGGCAAACTTGCTTATGTCACTCTTTATGCCCTCACCTATGTCGTTTATGTAAATTGTGAACAGGGGGCCCAACACTGACCCCTGTGGAACACCGCTCGTGATGCTTCCCCACTCTGATTTCTCCCCATTTATGTAAACTCTCTGCTGCCTATTTGTCAATCACGCCTCTATCCAGGAAAAAAATTCTCCTATTCCATGTGCCTTAATTTTCCCTTAACAGTCTGATGTGTGACCCTGTCAAAAGCCTTACTGAAGTCGATATACACAATATCATATTCATTACCATGATCTACCTCCTCAAATACCTTAGTGAAAAAAGTTAATAAATTCGCAAGGCAGGAACACCCCTTTGTAAAACCATACTGAGATTCGTTGATTAATTTATGCTTTTCAAGGTGGTTATGAACTGCCTCGGCAATTATTGATTCCATAAATTTTCCCACTATGGAGGTTAGGCTTACTGGTCTATAGTTCGAAGCTAAGGACTTGTCACCTGCTTTGAAAATAGGTATCACATTTGCCATTTCCCACTTATCTGGCACCATGCCAGTTTGTAGTGATATGTTGAAAAGATTAACCAAAGGTTTGCTAAGCTCTTCTTTACATTCCTTTAGAACCCTTGCATACAGTTCATCAGGGCCTGGGGATTTGTTAGGTTTTAATTTATCTATTTGCCTAGGGACCATGTCACTTGTGACCCTAATCGTGCATAGTTTATTATCGTCCTGTTCTACGTAATTTATTATTTCTGGAATATCGCTAGTATCTTCCTGTGTAAAAACTGAGAGGAAGTATGTGTTAAAAATCTACACATTTCCTTATCACTGTCAGTGAGCTGGCCCGAGTAACTTTTGAGCGGGCCTATCTTGTCCCTGATCTTACTTCTGTATACCTGAAAGAATCCTTTTGGGCTAGTATTTGATTCTCTTGCAACTTTAACCTCATAATCTCTTTTTGCTTTTCTTATTCCCTCTTTTATTTCTCTCTAACTGAATATATTGATTTCTTAATTGCCCCTCTCCTGTTTTGATTTGCCTATATATGCCTCTCTTTTGACCAATGAAATGTTTTATTCTATTGTTCACCCATTTAGGATCATTTTTGTTTGATCTGATTTCCCTATCTGGAACATAAGTTGTCTGAGCAGCAGGAACTGGACAGGCACAAAGTCGCTACCTGACCATTCTCTCAAACTGTAAAACAGCTAGATTTATTCAGCCTTTACTTGTGAGATTATATTTATGGCTGATAAAAAACATGGCAGACATTAACCCTGGTTCGCATTTACTGCTAAGTAATAAATATATATATACAGACGTAATAGCTACACATGCAGACAAGTGGGAAATACTAGAAGGACATTTCAACGTTTTGGTGACGAATCAAACACTATCATTAAGATTCTTCCAGGATTATATTAGCTTTAAGAAGCAGCTAAGCTGCCAGATTTTTATTACCCAGACGTTGTTTACGTATTATAAATTTAGTATTTTTTATAGGTAGGAGTTGCAAAATCATACCGCCTTTAGTTAGGCTTCGCCGAGGGATTCAGTGAACGTCGCCTAATTACTTTGTCAGGGGAAGAGTAAGATTGTTTTCTTGATCGGCGTTTTGAGAACTGTGTTTTGGAAGAATGATCATATACTGGCAAGGTTCTCTAATGCTTACCTGGAGGGGGTTTCGGGGGTCAACGCCCCCGAGGCCCGGTCCATGACCACGCCCCGCGGTGGATCAGTGAGGTTTAGAAAAAAATTTAAATGGTTATAAAACAAAGTTCGAGATATATTTATGATTTTGTAACGTTAGGAAGAAACTTTTTGGTTCGAAAATGTTTCTTATTGTTCCTAAAAGTTTAGATTGTATTCACATACTTTTTAGGTGCTAAAAGAACTTTTTTTTTTTTTTTGTCACTGGTTACGGAGTTGGTAATTAACTGTTTCAGTGTTATTTATGAATTTCTGTGTAGGTTTGGA